ATTATGATGATAATTGTTATTTATTTTGAAAATTTTAAATTCGATATTACTGGAAAAATTCTAGTAGTTTCTAATAAGAAGGGGATACGTTTCAAAAGTGAAAGGTAGGAAAATTGGAATTATCGTGCTTTATTGTAAAGATTGTTACTGAATCTCTGATTATTATGATGATAATTGTTATTTATTTTGAAAATTTTAAATTCGATATTACTGGAAAAATTCTAGTAGTTTCTAATAATTAGAATAATTATTTACACGTTGCAATTAAATTAAGATATATCGATATAATAACGATAATAGCTATTAGTTCAGATTATCCTATTTCTTATGGGCGATATAAAATTATGCATCCTCCATATTGATGGATTAGATTCCAAAATACTTGGACACAATTAGGTTATGACAATTAAAAAAATTTTATTCTCATTTTAATATCAACATCGAATAGTTTACTAACCTAAACTCTTAAGCATAATACATTTGCAAAATTTTAAACTATATAATATTTTCTTTTAGCTGTTTGAATTTATATGATGCAATATTTAATTATATAATCAAAAGAGTTTGGATTAAAAAAAATTCTAGAAAATTTTTAGCATAAACACATCCAAGACTTGCTGATTCTGTAATAAGGTTGATAGCATTTTCTATTTCTAAATTACTAGCATTTCTTTTATTATATAATTTGGTTCCCATTAAATAAATTATAAAGGACTTAATATAAATATTTTTTCTGAAACTTTCAGAATTTTTTAAAAGATAAAAGATATCATACAACTTTCTTTTTCTTCAGCATATTGAAATAGAAAACGTATATGTGTCAAAAATTTATCTTCTGCTATTAGTAAATCATTTTCATGTGTTTTAAAAATTTTGTATGCTTCGTAGATATCATTTGATTTCTTAAATGACGACATTGTTCTGAAATTTGGTTTATAAAAGTAAATGAAGTACGTTTTGAGTTTTTATAGAATGAAAATTTCATGAATCATTTTTTTATATATTTTGTTGATTAAGAAAAATTCAATAATTATACAAATGTAAATTTAAATTAAATTTATTTTTAATTTTTATACTAATAAACCTGTACCAGTTTAATTGAAAAAGGTTAAATATATTAAATTTCAATTTAACTTTAAAATACATAATCAATTTTCTTAAAGATCTATTGTCATTTGAGAAAAATTGTCATAACATAAACAATTCTAGTCACAGTATCGCCCGAGTCATATGATGACTGAAGGCAAATTAATTTCCTCAACGGAAAAAGGTGTCAATTTCATATTAAAATACTCATATCTCCAGAATCAGTCAAAGAAGATTTACTGATTTTACTAAAACTCTTGTTTAAAGTTATGAATTGTATTATTTTTAGAGAATTCAATTTTTCATTATATTGTTTTAAATAAAAAATTTAATTGTAACAGAATTACGAAGTTTAATATTGCGACTCTAACCAATCATATTTTTTTGTCATCTTTTACGAAAATGGAAATTGAAATTAAAACCATTATTTTAACTAATCATATTTTTTTGTCATAATAAAAATATTATTGTGCTAATCAGAATGGATATTATTGTGTTAAATAGAATGTGTCATTAATATCTATTTAATTTATTTATTTTAATTCCTAATTGGATGAATGCATTAGATAGGCAAAAGCGACACTAGATAAAATATATGAGAGCTTGTTAATAGAAAAATTTTTAGAAATTTTTTAAAATATAATACAGTATTAAGCATGATACACGATAAAATATTATACAAAATTTTACATATTAACTTGCAATCAAATAAATATTTGAACATTTATAGAAATTAATTTTTGATTACATATTGCTTAAAAAATCTCAAAGTTGGTCAATTTTTTAAAAAAAAATTGAAAAATTGAAAATTTTTGATATATTTATAAATTAACCAATCAAAATTAAGTATTATAATTACTAAATCAAATTTAAATTTGATAGAATTAAAATAAAAATTTTAAGGGTAAGGTGTACATAAATCATTTATTATATCATTTTAGTGGTACAATAAGTTAAATAGAAAATAAAATATATTAAAATAAAACTTTTCATATTATAATTAATTTTGATTAAAATTTTAGAACAAAATGCATTTTTATAATAGTAAAGTTTTAATAACATATATTTGAAAAATTATACTTCAATAAATCTCATTTTCATTCCTAAATTTGTACAATATATAAAATTCATTCATTAAAATCATTCATTTTACTTTTTATTTCTGGTTTTTTTAGCTGCCTTCAAATTGTGGATTACAGCAATAACTATATTCTGAAATAATAATTAACAATATTAGATTAAATTTAATGGTAAATCATATAATAATAAATGCGCAAAATAGTTTGAAGAATAATACCCGCACTAATAATAATGCATATACTAATTCATGTACATTTTCCCAAGCAGTTTGTCTCACAGGTATGTCCGCTTCAACGATTGGGAAGTAAAAATAAATATTATTCTTTCTTTGAAGTCCGTATATTTTCATGTGCTTGCCTAAACAAAAAAATGGTTATAATGTCAATTGAAAAAGAAACAACAATTACTTAGCTTACCAGTTATATTAATCCCCAAAATCGTAAGAAAAGAACAAATTTCTTTGTTGTCCTTCAATCGTTTTTGGGTGGTTACAAAATTATAACCGCTTTTACATAAGCGAATCAATTTAGTGTGATCTGATGAAACCTTCTTTTCAGTAGTTATGCATCGCCCACTTTCAATATAAAGTAACTCCAGGGCTTTTTCACTAATTTTAACCGTAAACATGATGTCAGGACGATCTCCAATTGCTGAAGTTTTTGTATTCCTTGATTTATAATCTTGATTGGCGCGACTTTGCAGTTCTCCTCTAAAAAACACAAATGTTATTAAATGAAATTCTTCAAATCATATTGTTATAAGAATTAACATTACTTTAACTCGTATGTAACATCCACTGGAAGATCATACAATGCTACAGAAAGAAGCGGTTCTATAACTTGAGTTAGAAAGTTTCTCTCGGACTGATTTTTATTCCAATCTATACTCAATTTCCACTAAAAAAAAGAATTATGTTTATTGTTATTTTATCTTATAGAGATAAATTTGATAATACATACAAACACTTGACAATGCATTGAGAACATTTCGTTCGCGACTCTAAAGTTTCTACCCAGTGACCTAATGAGACTATGGAACTTTCAGAAATAATCCATTTAAGATTGGTGTTGCTTTGAGTTTCTTGAATGACTTTCTTGCACTCTTTCACCAAATCTTCTTCCAATTCCAATTTCTTTGAAAACACACCCTATTATATAATTAATATAATTAATTTTTATATCTATACATGAAATAAAAAATTACATACTTTGGCAAAATTAACCGTGGTATCTTTGAATTTACTTGCCCACTTGGAGGTGATATCTATGACTTCCATATGTAACGAATCATAATCATTATCATCATTTAGTTTTAGAACTAATTCCTCCAAGGTATTATAAATGTCTTGATAGGCATCATGTTCTTCATCAGAACATTTCCCACGAAGAATTCGCTTCTAATTTATAACCACATACATTATTCAAAATCCTTCCTCATTAAAAAATCATAATCTTGGGATAAAATACTTTCCACACTCCGCTTTAAGTTTAAGATATTTGTAGTAATATCTTGTGTTTTTTCTTTTTTATAGGAAGTAACAAGCATCTTATTTGCATGCAATGAATTCACCGTTGAAACCACACTTTTAATCTAAAAAAAATAATAAATTATTAGATCCATCAAAGTAATAAATAAATTATTCTTTGAAATCTATCTATACAAATCAGAATAAATTTGCATGCACGTTTAACTCCCGGGAATATTGATCTTTTAGAAACAAGGACAGCCCCACTTCGGAAATGTAAGCATGCGAGTTCACCGACTATAACAAGGACGATCCCACTTCAGGAAATTTTGAAAAATCCAAAAAAAATACTGTTTATCCCTACTGAATCGCGGTTGTTATAGTAAAGTACTTGCAATTATAAATACATTCTTACTGAACTGTGGTTGATTAAGATCTTCTAATTCATCAAGTATGTAAAATAACTTTCAGAAATGTATAAAATGTATAGAAGTAAATGCTTACGATTTCAGGTGGTGTCTTTTGAAGAAATAATAGTTTTTGTTTTCTTTGTTCTTCAAGTGAAACATCTTTCAATGCGTCTTTAATTGCGTCATAAAATATCTTAACTTCCTTTTCTTCTTCACCAGTCCACAGGTTTGACTCAATCCTATGGTGAAAAATAAGAGCTGGCTCAAGTGACCTTAAAGATAGATTTTTTAGTTCGAAAATCATAATGATCAACTTTGTGAAACGGGATACAGATCTGACGATCTATCATATAAATTGATTTACCATTATGATGGGGATTAATATTTTGGCCTACATTAAGCGTAATTTGGCCAAAATTAAACGGTTTTTTGAAGTTAGCTACGCTTTAGCTAATTTGACGGCAATTTAATACAAGAAAAATTACATCTATAATTTCTAACTCCTACGGCATCAAGATGCCGTCGGAAAAAGAAGTTTCTATTGAACTGTTTTATTTTTTTGTTTTTAATTCTCATCAATGACCTAAATAAACTTTTCTTTTGACAGTTTTCCGTCACCACAAAGGGATTCTATATTTTGTTACCTTTTTTATTTAGTCGATTTCTTATTAACGTTAATGTCGCAGAATAAATCTTCCTAATCAAATTTTTTTTTAAAAAAAGAAAATTAATAAAAAGCAAATAAAAAAGTAAATATGAATTTTGATACAGAAAATAAACGAATATATCTTTAAAAAAAAATAAGTCGGCACACATCGATGTAATAAAGATATATTAATACTTGTAGGCAGACTAGTTTTAGTAATTTCTCCAAAAATGTAAAGCACTTTTATGAAATAAAAATATACAGTTACTTTATGATCTAAGAATAATATTTAATTAAAGTAATAAATGAATTATTATGAATAATTACCAATTAGCAAATTTTAACTTAAAAAAATAATAATCATATTACATAGAGTGTCCAGTATCATCGATTCTTCTATTAATAGATGAATGATTATTAATAATTACCAATTAGCAAAATAATAATCATATTACATAAAGTGTCAAGTATCATCGATTCTTCTATTAATAGAATTTTCTCAAAAAAAGACAACTTTAACACTAACACTAATGACAGTAGTAATAATTTAAAAGAATTATGGATTATAAACCACTTTTTAGATTATAGTGAATTATAATTTGTGAAAAAAACTGAACTTACTATTGACAAAAATGAAATAAAAAATACTAATGGTTTATTTATATTATTTGTAAATTATACTAGTCCGCATCTCTTATTGAAGACTAAAATTTGGTTTTTTTAATTAAAAAATCAATTGGTTTGTAATTAAGAAACAATACATTATCGTTATAACGTAATTAGATCGTATCATATCTGATATGGATTAATATTAATATCGATGTGGCACAAATCGTTACATTTTTGATGTTTTTATTAAAAATATATCAAAACGACAACTTTGCATGAAAATTGAGTCCTTCGCTATGCTTCAAACAATATAAATAAATTAAAAAAGAGGCATTGTTACTTTAAAGAGTATGCTAAAATGAACCCAACAAATATAATTTTATTTGTGCGGGTTTAGTTATTCAAGAGTTATTGCAATCTAAATCTTATATGTTTTTACTATTTACGCTACCACTACGCCACCGTTAATTATCACTATATCGATATGACCTGCACCATGTTTGTAAATAGACTTGCATGATACACCCCAGTATGATATGTTGATCATAATTATGCAAAGCTGACGTTACTGATTATTAATTTCAGCTATTATCGTTTTTGCTAGATTTTGCACTTTCGTCACATTTCATAGGTGTTATTCGCCTTTCACATGCCAAGCTACTAAAATTTTTTAGTTGTTCACTAAGTGAATACTCCTCCCCAAGACTTTTAAATACACAATTATTATTTTGTGGATTCAAAAATTCCATTTTTCGCAATTGAACTCGAAATTTTTGCGACTCTGAGATATAATCAGGGCGTGACCGACTTCCTGATGATTCATTATTGGTATGTCCGATCATATTAAATAATATATGACGCAACTAATCATTATTTCAAAAAATAAGTATAAATAAATACTTTTTTTTTTTTTGAAAAAAATTGATAAATATTAGGTGTATTTTGCAGACCTTTATAAACTTCATACAATTTCGTGCTGCAATTCTCCAATGTTTTTGCGAAGGTACAGGTGGAATTAGGGCTTTTAAAGACTTATTTACTTCTTCAAGGATGGTATCAAGACCTTGATGCTGGTTAGAATAACCCGATCGTGAAATGGCTGAATATAACTCTATACGTTGTCTAATTTCAGGATTTAGCCGCATCAATTGCACCTCATAAGATATCTCAATTAAACGGTAGATAGGATGTCTACGACCAGACCATATTGGTGCAAACGTACGTCGAGCAGCATTTACCAATAATGGCCGGTTGTTTCTAACTCCTATACGAAAGTTAATGATTGCTTGAAGGTATGTAAATATCTATAATACCAGCAATTGTTAGTTATGTTTTTAGATACTTGTGAATCCTTTTAAAATTTACCTGTTCAAATTTTAGTTTATATATATGGTCATTTTGTGCTTTCGCCCAATTTAGATAGCCGTCAACAGAAGGATCATCAGTTGCAACTACGTATGGCCATAATAATTCACACGCCACCGCATGTCGGTAAATATTGCAAATAGAGTCCCATGATTTGTGGTGGTCAGCGCATTTTTTAAAAAATCCGAGTTGGTTTTCAGTTCTATATCCTTGGAGAATAGCGAATTGCTTGATATCAATCGACCTTAAAAATGCATTAGAAAAAATTAAGTATCAAAAGAAAAAGATATCTGAGATATTTACTTGAAGAAATAATACCAATTTAACTCTACAAATGCTTTAAGCATGTTCATTTCTTCATGCAGGGCTCCGGGAATCAGTATAAGCCATGGAAAATCGGTTTTAATCTTTTGTGCTAGATTATAGGGAACACCGTCGCAAATAACAGGTAACCATTTTCTCGCCCCTTCATTGATTTCAGTGATTATTTGTATATGTTCTAAAACTTTTTTGACATTATTTAACGAATTAGGATTAACTTCCAACGGATCTGGCACATGCATTTCTGGAATAACAACATCTTGATCGGTTTAGATTGTTGCGTGATACTAATATGCTCTAAATAAGAAGCTTTTTCTTGAGCATATTCATAGATCTTTATTATGGGAGTTCCTGATTGAGAAGGTATATTTTTATCAACCTGAGTTAATTCTTTAATGGATTCGGCTTGTAAGGTGGCTAATGTATCTAATTTTTCATTACACTTAGGACAAGTACGTTTTTTATTATCTATATTGGTCATGTTACATTTTTTGCACAATTTTGAATGGCTTCCAACTCCTTTTTGATTTTTTATAATTTGATCAATTGTATTTTTTTCTTGGCTTTTTTCAGTGATAAGTTCTTCTAAAATTGAAGTTAAGTATATATTTAATTCGTGGTCACATTCTGCCTTCATCTCTGGTGTAAGATAATATAACTTTTCGTATTGTTGATCATTTAGTGAATCATAAAGCCAAGGGGTAGTCGTAAATTGGGCTTGGTCAATTTTATTCATATTTAGTGCAATGAAGCTCGTAACCGTATGATAAATGACCGTATTATATCCACGATCAAGATAATTATGCTGACCTCGTTGTTCATTATCGAAAGCTATAAATAGAAGTCCCTTAGGTAAAGGTTCTTGTTCAATGGCTAACGATTCTAGCCAATTAACGAATTTTGTATAACTTCCAGAACTAATTATATGATTGTCGATATCAATAATTGTTCTAGATCGTGCTAGTGAATATTTAATTCCAGACATGGCGAGATTTATTTCAGACACATAGTTATTATGCCTTGACCCATATATTGCATCAATCGCAACTATCTTTTTAAATAACTTTTCGCTTAAAGTATAATTATGATTATTATTATCATTACAAGTAAGCGTATTAATAAAGTTAACAACGACTGGGTTATGATTAGCTAACCAATTTTCGGGTACAAAATTCAATAAACTGTTAAGAGAAAATCGTTGTTTATTTAAAATTAATGATTCAATATCATTATAAACATTTTGCCGTTCATAATTTGCAATCTGAATTATCGAGTCAATTCTTTTTTTTTGATTATTATAACGATTTTCCCAATTATACTTTAATGCATTATTTTGTTCGGATAGCTCTTTATTTATTTTATTTATTTCTTGAATTCGTCCCCAACTCTCGATTACATAATCATATGCATATTCTAATCGTTTTTGAAGGTTTTCTATCTCATCTATTTTTATACTCAATTGCGCTTGAAGTAGATTAATATAATTTTCAAGGGTATGCGATATATTATTGTATAGGGTTTCAAAAATATGCATACAGGTATCAAATGATAGCAGGTGATTGGCCGCGTAGCAGCCAATCACATGTTGCCATTTGATACCTGTGTGCATATTTTTAACCCTATACAATAACGGTATTATCGTATAGTAGTTATTGATAACTATACTTCTATATCATATTCGTAATTACGTTATCAAATTAAACTACACGAGTATATATATTACATTTTTTCAATTAAACTTTTTTTCACGATTATTTTAAAGACCGACAAAAAGATGATAAAACAGTGATAACGTAAACTATACAAATATGAGAATTTTTAGTATAGTCATCAATAACATGGCTATACGATAATAAACTAATAGTGAGTAAGTGTTGAATTTTATTCATATATAAAAATAATCATTATAATTTATTGTCAACAAAATAGA